TTTAGTATTACTAAAATGTTCAAATTTCACATTGCAACTGCCACTTTATAGTTTGATAATTCCTTCCTTAGAAGAACTTACATTTCCATTATTAAAAGTAAATTTAAATTATATCGCTATCCAAAAGAAAGCAAATAATCTTTTTGGTGATTTATACATTTAAAAATTGCGATGAACTTCTTTGCTTTGAAAATAATATGTTGTCGCTATAGAGTATATTTTCCGTTTATAGTATGTCTTTTTTCCTCTGTGAATTTAAAATACTTTAAATAATTTGGGCTTTGCCTGATTCTCCCAGAATTATAGAGTATGACTGATAACTGCCTTTAGAATTCCTAATAGCTAAATTACAATTATTATGCAAAGTCCTACAATAGACAGTTATATGGATTGTTAAATGACTTTTCCTTTTTTGCAAACTATAATCATTTTCCTTTATTAGCTGAAGGATTTCATAATTTAAAGAAGATGAGAAACCTATAAGTCACGCTTTCAAATAAAGAACATGGATATTGCAAACATTAAATTCCCCCATAAAAATGTTAAGGCATCATTAAACTAGGTTCGGTTTAATACAATTCAGTCAACTCTAGACAGATATCTCCCATAATAAGCTGAAACAATACCTAGTGATCTAAGATGTAAAATATTTTACTACAGCCAATTTATAAACCTATAAAACATACAGGTATCATTCAACCTCTTTATTAATAGTGCATGCCTTGTATTAAATCAAAACCATTTCAAAGGCCCCTCCCTTTTGGCATTCCCTTCCTCAGCTGTTGCTCCTCATTATGTGTTATCTCATTGAAGCTCATCCAAAGTGAACGACAGCATCTTTTTACCAGAAGCAGCATAGGCAATTCTCAGCCGAGTGATACAGCTTAACTATCTCTGAGATTTATAGACACACTTACTATCTTCAACCTATAACATTCTGTGGCCTAATGTTGATGTATTTGTTTATCTGTAAGTAGATGTGGGTTTTATCACTTTGGAAAACTGCAATTTATTATTTTTAGTTATACAAGTTTCTTTACGTGTGAATTATATTTACAAGAAACTGATATTGGGACAACATGTTGTAGACAATTTTGAATCTGTTTGGAAGAATCCTTTTTTTTACCCTGTTTTTGCCCAATAAGAAAACCAAGCATTTCATATTGGCAAAGTCACTGAAAGTTTTTATTTGTTATCTCCGGTTATTTATTGCCACATAACAACCCAAAAACATAATGGTTTACCAACCCCAAAACAACCACAATGTTTATTAGGCTCACAAATCTGCAAGTGGGGCAAAATTCTGTGGGGTAACTCATCTCTTGGCATGAGCTGGGGAGTCCAAGGTTAGAGGATAGAGTCACCTGAAGAAGATTGACACACGTATTTGGCAGTTGCGTGGTCACTAACTCCACGTGTTATCTCAAGCATTGTGCCTGCAGGGTAGCCGAATTCATACATCTTGACTCATGGCCCCAAAGCAGAGTCCCAAGGAGGCTCTTTCACCAGCCTGGTCTCATAAGTCCTACCCTTTATTTTTACCTTACCCCATTTGCTAAGAGTCAATAAAGATGATCTGTAATCAGAGGGAAGAGAATTAGATTCAATCTTTGATAGCAGAAATGTCAAAAAATATATGAACATATTTTATGACTGTCACATCATAAAAAAGGAAATTAACCCACTACTTTTAAATATCACTCTGAAAAATCAACAATTTCTAAAGTAGCCTCACAGAAATTACTTTTAAAACATAAATTCTGTTTTTAATGTAAAACAGTAGTATTTTTCCAGCTTTAATGAAATATAATTGACAAAATTGTAATATATTTAAAGTGTACAACATAATGTTTTAATATATGTATATACATTGTGAAATGATTACCACAGTTAAGTTAATTAAAATATCCATCACCTTACAGAGTTTTTAATTTTTTTGTTTTTGTTTTTCATTGTTGTTTTGTTTGTTCTGATGAGCACACCTATTCTTATAACTATGTTCCATAGACTCCATATAATAAGATGTGTCATCTCAGGCCATCTTGTTAAAAAAATCAAAGTATAATAAATAAAATTTTTAAATATATGTAACTATAAGTAGTATCTTTAACAGAAATTTTGAACTTTGACTAACCACAGATATAAATGCATAGATTAAGTAAGAAATTCTATGAAAGAATTTTCATACCATTTTTAACAGTAGAGTTCTTATATATAACATGAATAAATATGTTGCTTTTAATGCAAAATCATCCCAAAAAGAATCTTTCTTTAATTGGTAAAATAATTTTAAAGAATGAAGACCAAATCTCTAAAATTAAGATTATCCAGGAAAATAATAAGAGTAAAACAAAACAAAAAACATATTAAAATATAAGTGCTTAAACTGATCTATATGTATATATACATCTAAATATATAATCCATATTAAGTTTATAAATATTAATAAAATCCCAATAGTCAACCAACAAAATCATATCATTGATTTACCACAATAACATTATAGATATTTATTTATCATTTACATAGCTATCTAATCTGAATGTTTCTAGTTGACAAGAAGCTTTCCTCACTTGAGCTTGATGCATTAGTGCCAAAAGAGAGCTGTGCCTCACTTCGGTCCTACACAGAGATAACCATGAAGTTCATTTGCAGAAGGAATTATCCCATTTTCCAGAGCTTCAGGAAGTGCACTTTGTTGTCTACCTTGTATGACAAGAAAGGTGTAATGTGATACAGATTTCTAGGCAGTGATCATAGTTTTGCCATTGGTCAAAGGTATCTATGAGAGATAACACTGGAAGAACAGTGACAAAGACTGGAGAAAAAGCATGCAAATGTACTTGCAGAGAGCACATAAAATAACAGATCTTTGTGTATCATGTTAATACCCACCAGACAGCATCTACCAATGAGCAGTCATTTTACAACCAGATGGACAGAATAACATGCTCTGCAGATAACCTGCCTCTTTTCTTGACCAGCTTTCTGCTAATATAATGGACCCATGATAACAATGGCCTTGGTGGCAGGGATGGAAGCAATGCATGAGCCCACAATGTGGACTTCACCTTAAGACAGCCTATTAAACATGCCACTTCTAAGTTTCCAACCAGCCCTTATCAGAAATGGAGCCTTCAGTCTGGATATGGCACCATTTTTTTGAGGACTGAGTGAGTGAGTAATAGGCAACAAATTAAATGCTGGTATCCAAATTCTGCTGTTCCAAGATTCTATCATCTGCATTGATATTGAGGAGCACAGTTCGATGGCAGCATCCCTACAGTCAACTCTACCTGTACAGCACAGTCACTATCAAGCTTCTCAAAGTTGAAGATGCCCTCTCACCAGTGCATTCCTCACTTCCTTAGTAAGAAGTTCCCTCTGCATCATTCTAGAGAACAGCCAGGATTCTTGGGTCCAACCCACCATACCAATTCTAACCTCCTTATCTTTATAAACATTCTGAATGATTTTGTTTAACACTACACAAGGTTCTGTTATTTCTATTACTTTTACTCTCGTATATCAAGGTTAGACTTCTAAGGAACAGCAAGGCTATGGAAATGAGCTCTAGATGTCACTCCTTAAATGTTAAATCATGACTCACAGTGAGTAACACCATATTATAATGAATTCTCTCCTACTCAACCTAATAGTCTATGTCATCCCTCCCCCACTGCATTCTCCCACTCTCTACTCACGATCTTCCACAATATTCTCCAGTTTATCACCAGTACACATGAATCAAGTGTGCAGTAGTATTGCTTGTACTCTTAGTTTAACTTCTCTGTGACCTAACCTTATTTATCAGCGATTTGGCTAAAGTCAGGCCTAGGACCACAGCTTGAAATATAGCAGATGGTAAGCTCTGCAAAGGCAGCAGCTGTGGTACCAAAGTCTGGGAAACAGAAAGTTGTCTTCTGAAGGAAATTCAAAGTAATCTGAGAAGGCCCAAAATGTTCGTATCTGGTATAATAATTTTTTCACAGAAATGAGGCCTTCAAGGGTATATATTTCCCAACCACTTTTTTACTTTTTTCTTTCCACATGATCTGTGGATTTATAAATGAATTATAAAAAACTAATCTTTTGAATCAAAAAGGATCTGATTTGTACAAGTTAATTTCTCTGTTATAATTGCCCTTGTTAACAAAATATACAAGGAAAGGCGGACTTTTTCATCATCAGATCAACTACAAATTGTGTACTTATGGGCAAGGAATTTAACTTCTCAAAGGCCTAAGTTATAAGCAAAATTTGTAAACTATCAGGTAACTCACTGGATTATTATAAAGACACTTTAAAAATTAAATTCATGAATTTTTATTAAATAGATCATGAACTTTCACAAGTAGATAAATTAAGCCCTGTAATATATTAAATATATGAATATAACCATATGTTTCATCAAAAGGAGTATAGAAAATAAGAGTAGGTTGAGGCCTGTAAAATTATAGTTTTATAAAATTATATAAGCAAAGTTTTTGGCAAGGCAAATTTTATAGTAATCCACCAGAAGGTTATACTGAGTGCTATTTTACATAATAAAGAAAAAATTAAGTGTGAAACAGTGTACAAGATACAAACAACAAAAAAGGCAAACTATATATTTGAAAACACAGCTGTGGGACGTGGTTCCATAGTATAGCGGTTAGCATGTCTGCTTTACACACAGAATGTCCTAAGTTTGCACCCCAGTGGAACCATGGCCCATGGTCTACGGCCATGCCACCCTGAACAAGCCTGATGTCTGATCTTGGAAGCTAAGCCTGGTTAGTATTTTGATAGGAGACCACCTAGGAAGACCAAGTGCTGTAAGCATAAATAATAATAAATAAAAGAAAAGAAAAAAGAAAACACAGCTGTGGTTCATGTTCAAACAGTTCATGTCTCTAAGAGAATTAATTTTTTTAATTGCAAACAAAAGGGTTACTTTAATTATCATTTGAATGTTTGAAACACTCTGATATAATAAATCCCCCAGGATCACATTCCTACTAAACAGATTTCCTTCTCTTTCCAAATACATTATTGATTAATTTGACCATTGACTTAGATCCACTGGATCTTCTCTTTTCTTTGAGTTTGAAGTTTGTCAGGATGTCCTTGATGATTCTGATAAACATCATTTCTACCTCCAGAGACTGCTCTGCTGCAGACAGTTCACAGAATTGGCATCGGTTATCCAATGCCAGTTTTTGTCCTTCTTCCCAGCCAACCTCTCGCACATGACAGAGATCTTGTTTGTTACCAACCAAAAGCACTGCTGATTCCACAGCTCTGAAATATAGATATGCAATTATTTGGCAAAATCGTTTTAATGACTCTTTTTTTATTAAGTAGGTTTGTATCAAAAAGAATTATGGACCAAAACAGAATAATATATCGTGTGTGTATGTGTGTTAATGATCATGTATGTGTCTGTATGACACTTTCCCATTAACATACAAAAATTATTTTAAATAGAATGTAATAAGCGACATAGAAGCAACAAGACTCTTAATGCATAGCATTTGAAATGATACAACCTGTTCTCAAATTATGGCTCTTTTACAAACAAGACATGTTGCTTTTCCTGCTTTCAATTTCCTTATATGTTAAAAAAAAAAAAGGGGGTAAAATAGTCCTGGTCACACAGAATTCTCATAGAGATTAAATGAAATTATGTATATAAAAATAGCTAGCACAGTGCCAAACAATAAAAGCTGCTTACTAAATATTATTTTTTATTTTCTTATCCATTGAAAGAGAAGGACTAACTCTAAGCAGTTACTATAATTGAACAATTTAGATAAAATTGCCTGGAGTAAAAATATTACTTAATCTCATGGCTGTTTGTTCTTTGTTACTATCCATCATAACATACTCTAAAGAAAATTTTACAACCTCATGACCTTGTACAATTTTTCTGTTTATTTAAGAAATATATTTCTTCGATAAGAACGTCTTTGGCAAATATCAATGTGTTCTCATTGGTTACAACAAAACAATCCTAAAATAGTTTTATTTGAAGAAATAGTAATACTACTAGTCTGTAAGTGGCATGAAACTCTGCCAAGATATCTACTGTAGGTAAGAAATGTGCAAACAGAGTCTAACTCTATCAAAAGAGAATTGCCCCCAGATTCCACTAAAAGTTGGTTTTATACACATAGCAGTGTGAGCCATGTTGGGAAAAGCACTGTATGTGTTGGACTTGTGATGATATTAATAACATCTTTTTCTATATAGTTCAGAAGACTATTATAAAGAATTAGTGGGGGTGGTTGAATTATTTTGAAGGGTAAGTCACAAATATCAGAAGTAATTTTAATAAAACAATGTTTTTCTAGTCTATCTATAGATGAGATCTGAAAATACTCTAAAAATTATTTAGTCAGTACATTAAGAAGATTGTCAAATCTTCTTAATGTACTGACTAAATAATTAAGAAAAATGTCAAATATAGTTTTATAATTAATAAATAATAAATAAAATAATAATAAAACTATTTATTATAGTTTTATAATTAATTTCTAAATAATTAAGAAAAATGTCAAATATAGTTTTTTTATTTTTACATATTTTTTAGTATTCTTGAGTGATTCTTTTGATTTGGAGGAATATCAATGGAATGTTATAGCTGTTCCTTACCTAAATCATGAAGCTTAAATATAAGGCGTTTAATGCTTGAAACAATGAAGTTTAAAAAATCAGTAATATTATAGGAAATCAGAGCTAAGAGGTACCTTAGAAAAATCACATCCTTTTTTCCTACTATCAGTTTTCCATCTATCAGTTTTATAATCAGAAAAATGAGGTCTTAGAAGTTAAAAGATTTACCTAAGATCAATCAGTTATAAACAAGAATTTACATCAACTCGCTCCAGGGAAATACCCTTTATCAATTATTATCTGCTGGTTTATATAGTGGGCACTTAAAATAGACGTAAAAAGCACCTATGCAAATTTTCAGTGATAATATTGTGCTTTTTTGCTCTCCAGTTTAGAATGTTATTTTAGACTCAAGGAAAATCTGGTTAAAAGCACACAGAATCTCTTACATTTTCATTTTAAGCAAAAATAAATATTTTAAATGGGAAAGGGTATGAAACAAGAAAAAGAAAAATTAAAATGGGAAATTTATATGTTTAAATTATATCTACTAATATGAGAATGGTTTAGGGCACAGTTATGTCTTTCTTCTTAGTTACTTGTGTCAAGATAATTAGCAATGGAGAATTGTTGATCAGCTCTTTATTTTAGGAGGTGAAACAGAGAAAAAATATTCTCATACTTAAGAATTTGTAACGGTTTGATTATTCAGTCTATTTCGCTTTGATAGATTGAACAACCAAATGACTAGGAATTGGATGCCAAATGTAATAAATCTGGATTTATTTAGTATCTAACATTTTCGTGAGAATGCAAGGGAAAGGTTGGAAAGTGAACTACCTTGTACACTAAGGCCCATTATTTTGCGAGTGTCATGTTAACAATAGAAGCTGTCTTGTAAAATAGCCATTTACTCAGGGCAAGTAACTGTTTATGTCAGCCAGATATAAAGTATTCTCATCTTATTCCTTTTACTACATGTGTAACTCCTGTGGAATGGAAAGTGAATTGTTCAGGGCTGTTAAATTTTGTAATTGGAAGGCTGTATTAAACTCTTCTTAATGATGCTTACAGCTATATGATGATTTACTAAAAAGAAAAGAGAGAGGAATGAAAAATATCTTACCTTTTACAATGACTTGTTTGTGGCTCCCGAATTCTGTAGATCAGTGCTTTTGCCAAAGCAAACGAGGACCTGTCACTGATGTCATACACAACAATAAACCCATCTGCCCAATGCAGCTCACTTGTGAGGGAAAATTTTGCTTTCTGTGACTGAAAATAAACCAAGCACATTAAAAGTGTTGGAATCTGACACCTGTATTTTACACTTTAAACAGTTAATTAATAAGGATCTGTTTCACTTGTAAGAGAATTCAGTAAGCCAAATATTGATATGTTCTAAAATGTAGCTTCTTTGTTTTTTCTTTCTTATCACCCTTTTTCTTTAATTAAAAGCCATTAAATTTTAAAATGTAAAGAGGGGCTATAATAAAGTTATATCTATCTCATTTTATTTTTCTCTAAGAAAATATTTCTATTTTTTTATAAAAATTTGATAAGGTATAATAATTGCCTTTTGAATTAATAGCCACATATTTGTTTTGACAAGAGATAATATTTTTATCTATATTAGTAAATGAAATATCTATTGATTTTTGGTATTAGATTTAAAGCAGTAACAAATATTAATTAATAAGGTTTAGCTAAAAATATTTAAGGGATATTTTCTATACCTAAAAGAGTTGTCCCATGGAGTTATTTTGAAATCTTAAACAGCTGACCATTACTGCTGTTATTTATATAATCTTATTTTAACTTTTTTGTATTTAAATGGATAAAGGGTTTGTACTAAAATCTGTCTTACTTATATTTTATAAGTAAGTATAAGTAAGTGGTTACAAATTAAACAATGAAAATATAAACTGAATATGTCATTAACTATTAACTTCTGACAGCTACACTGTGATTTGATAAAAATATATTATGAATGCAACCTAATAGTGCGATTTTAAAGATATTTTTGCTATGATTTTTGTCATAACTTTACAGAGAAGCTAGATAATATAATTTATAAAACTAAAAATAATCTATTAAAATTTTAATACTTAAAATTGAGAAAAAAACTTCAGTTTTAAGACTGGCAACTTTATACAAACTCCTATCTAATCTTCCTCAATTCATGGTTGAAAAAGTAAGAGTATTTTGTTTTACTTACTTGAGAACAAGGGTCATATATTTCTAGATTCAGTTGCTTCCCTTCCAAACACAAATGCTTATTATAGATAGATTCTGCAAAATATGCATGTATTCATGGTCAGTATGGAAATAATACAGAATAAAATAAAGGACATATATTTTGATGTTAGTCTTTCAAATTCAAGCAATCATAATTTAGTGGAGTAGTACAGTGGTTTTCATTTATTACCAGAGTTCAAAAAACATACTTGTTATATTTCCTCACATATATTTCTAACAATATATATTTCCACTATATCTATTCAGCTATATGCCTTTGTACTTACATACTTATCTTTCATCCTATTGTATGGATTAATTATCTGTGTTTCTAAGGCCAATCCATTCACTATGAATTTGTTACCATTTCCTCTGACCTAGTAAAAGACATGGCTCAACCAATTCTACTTCTCTCTTCTGTGTCATAAAATTTTCACCTTTGTATATTATTACTAACATCTGAATTTCTTCTAACTTAAAAAATTCTTTAGATAACACAATCTCTTTCAATTACTGCCTTATTTCTCAGCTAGCATTTGGTAAGTATCTACACCTCCTGTGTCCCGTTTCTCTCCTCCCATGCTCTTTAAATTATTCTAATCAGGTTTTAACTCCAATTACTTAACTCAAACTGTTCTGATTAAAGTTATGGTTTTAGACCCACTGGTCAGTTCTGTGTTTTGATCTTACTTGCCCTGTCAGTAGCATTCATTAGTTGATCACTCCTGCTTCCTTAAAATGCTTCCTTCACATGGCTTTCAATGCAATGCCCTCTCTTGTCTCTTTATTCTCTGTTTTTCCATATTAATCTTTTTTATTTGTCCTATGGTATCTTCCCACACTTCATGCAGGGATCCAGTTTATGGCTCTCTTCATCTATACTCATTCTCTTGCTAATCTCATCCAGTCGAAGTCTTTATGCAACAATTATTACCGATGCACCCACTTTATATCTATAGCCCAGACTTCTTTCCTGAACTCCAGACGCAAACAACTACTGCAATCTCCATTTAGATACTTGATACACTCTCAACCATACGTGCTTAAAATTGAATCCCTGATCTCCATGCCGAGACTGCATCTTCCACAGTTTTCTTTTCATTAAATGACATATCCATAACTTCAGTTTCTGAGGTTAAAAACTTTAATGTCATTCTTGACTACTTGACATCTCATAATTATGTTATTAAGAATTCCTTTCTACTCTATCTCAAAAGTATCTTTTGATTTTGTATGCCTCTCATCACCTCCATTGCAAACACTCTGGCCCAAGCCATCATTGTTGTGTGCCTATATTATTACTAAACCTCTCAGCTTATCTGTCTGCTTTATCCTTCCCCATACCCCTTTCTTGTGCCTAGTCTATTTTCAACACAGCAGCAAACAGAACCTTGAAGACAGATCGTGTATCTGTCTTTCAAATTGCTCCAATGGCTCCTCATCTCACTTGGATAAACCAAAACCTTTAATATGCCTGAGAATATCCCTCATTATCTAGTCTCCTATTACCTCTATGACCTCAATAGACTTCTCTGGCTTTTGCCTCTCAAATTCTCTCTACTCAAGCTATTCCATCCTCTATACTATTCCTCGCATTTTTCAGAAAGTTCTTGCTTCAGAACTTTGGTAATTGTTTCTTCTGTCTGGAATGTAATCCCCCAGATATCTTCATGGCTCAGTTTTCACCACCTTGATATTTCTTTTAAAATATCTCCTTCTCAGCAAGGTCTACCCTAACTACCCTATTTTAATTTACCACATACCATATTAGTGCCGTTCCCCCATGCTTTCTTTTTCTTCATAGCCATTTGTCATCATATGACATAATTTATATTTAATGTTTTTTAATTGACTAACCCTTCCCTCCAGAATGTAAATCGTATGAGGTCTTGAATATTTATCTTTTTTGTTTACTACTATAACCTCTCTGCCTAGAAGAGTACCTGGGACATGGTAGGTGTTCAAAAAATATTTGTTGAATGAATGAAGGACTTTATTTCTGTAACTGTTCCTCCAGTGTTTTAATAAAATACCTACTTCTCTTCAAAATGTCATACTGACACAAATCAGGACTCATTCTGGCAAACACTCTGTAACTCAGAGCAGAAAGATGTAACAGAAATTTGGGGAGACAACTTCAGGGGTTAGGGGTAAATTTTAAAATATTTCTAGGTTACATTTAATGGAATTTTTTATAGTTTTAGTAAACCTTAAAAGATGTTTTCAGACAATTTCTTCTAAACTTAATAAGTTTACTACTGTGAACAAAAAAAATTTTTTCTAAACATTTTAAAATGTCCACTCTCAAAACTCAAAAATTGTCAGGAGGAGTCACCAAATCTTAACTTGTTAGAATTTTATTATTTCCCCTCTATCCTTCATTTACAAAATGAAGCTATTTTTGCCAGTTCATCCTCATGCAATGGTGACCTTTTGCTCATTTGGTTGTCTTTACAAAATGTTTCTAGGTCTTATATTTTTAATAGAGATGTAACAACCAGAAATGTGTATGCTTCATTTGTTTATGTAACTATATCCTATAAAAGAGTAAGGTGATGGGTGTTGTTGTTGTTGTTGTTTGGGTATTGTTTTATTTATGTTTTGTTTTGTTTTGTAGTTCTGGCACCCTTTCTCATGAATGACTCCTAGAGTATGTGTTATATTGACCTTTTTGACTGAGGTTGTTGACCCGAGAAATGAAACAATATAGGAACTTCTCTTTCTATATATTTTTCCTTCTGTAATTAGTTTTCAAGCATTTGCCCTAAAACGTTCACAATGTCATATGAACTGACTTACTGTATCGAAAACATGTAGGAAATAATATAGTACAATATTTTAAAGTTATTTTCTGAAATACTCTAAAAATGCTACCTAATAAATAAATATTAAATTTTTTTTGGTTTTGGTTTATTTATAATGGAAAAAAGACACCTGCAATCATAATTTCCTCTTACTCTAAAAAATATTATTGAACAAAGGATTGTTTCCCTTCTCCTATTTCTCCTATTTCTTATAAACCTGTCCTTGTTTAAAAAAAAACAAAAAAACTTTTCCCCATGCCTTTAATAAAGTGAGATATTAGTACTAATACATTAGTTAATTGCTGAGCCAAAAATATACTTAATTCTCTGGCAAAATTTCCCATTTTTATTAATTCCTCACAGTGGTATTTCTCATATGTCATACTAATTCTGATAAAAATAACAGAAATTTAAACTAGAGTTAGTGATATTATTCTAAAACAATATCAAGGTTCCCTGGCATCTGTTTTAGAATTTCTTTGAACCTTACATAAGCAAGCTAGACAGTTATGATATGATCTTTAATCAAGACAATTTTACTGTTATTTTCACATAGTTTCACAATAAAAATAAGCTTTATTTTGTAATTACTTTGCTTTTATAATTAATTTGTCCTTATCTTTCAACAGATGTTGATTTAATTTCAAAATTGTTTCATAGCTTAAAAATATGCATACTCACATGCTTTACAATATTTTTTGTTGGGGGGGGAGAGTTTTAATGTTTTCTAGTTTTAGACTGAAACCAGGTGACTTCCTAATTCATCTCAGTTAACATCAAAGTGGATGAATTTTATCACAAAAGAACATTAAATTCAAGTACTTATTTTGGCATTTCTAACCAGAATCTGTGAATAAGTAAGTTGCTTAAAAGTGCAAATGTGGAAGAATTTATTAAAATTATTTTCTGATCTTAATTATGGTTTAATTATGATCTGAAATTTCAAGGTGAAAAAAGTTTAAACTAGTAACTTACCCAAATTAGAAGCATATTCTCCAATGAATCGCTTGGTAAGAAACCTTACTATAAGGGCTGCAATAGAAACGAGCTGGAATTAGGCTCCTTTCTGTTTTAGGATACAGATAATTTAGTTACGTATATAAGGTTTTATCTTTCAGCTCAAAAATTACCAACATTAAGAAAGACCTTAAAGCTTTACTGAATTCTGGTCTAAATAATAGTCAGCAAGATTTCCACTTTACAACCATAAAAGTTGGAAGGCTTAAAGAAAGTGATCTTAGAATGCTACCCACTAACATCAGTATGTAATTAATTAATGAATGCAAACAATGACAACCAACCTTTATAACAGAAACAGATTTCTCATTCAATTTGAGATGCAAGATCGATAACACCTCTTTATCTTCTTTATCAAATTAAATATTTTTCCAAAGCACTACATACTAATAGTGACAAGGACAGTATCAAGCAGTTGCAGTTACTTCAGGGTATAGGGACTTCAGAATCCAAGAAATATAGAAAGGACCTCTAGTGTCAGTTTATCTTACTGCAGCTCCTAGATCTGGCTAGTTATGCTTCACTAAGCTCAGGTGGTTTTTATGGTGGCATCCTCATCTCCATTATAATGTGACCAAAAACAAAACAAAATGAAAACATGGCTACAAAGGCAGGGCACCTAATCCTCAGTTCCCAGGTATCTACAAAGCCATGACTCTCCAAAGGTTGGTTTGTTTGTTTAACTTGGTAATGTGGCATTTAAAAAACAATTCACATGTCTCTGGACATCTCTCTCCACCCTTAGTCTCAGGGCAGAAGAATCCTTTTAAGGCCATTGTTTGGCCACTCGTGGGTGTGGGGACAGATGTGTTGGAGTGAGATGTAGGTGGGATAGTGATGGTGAGATCTCCTGTTATTCCTATGAGTTTTAAACATCAATAGAAAAAGATACAAATTAATACTTCAAACAGTTATCTTCCTCCAGCTGTCTATAAATTCTACAAATACAATTAATTGCATTACTTGTTAATAAAATGAAAACTGCTAATGAAAAATAATATATATAGTTAAATCAAGTTTTATATGTATACATGTATTTCTCACTCTTTTTGCACTGTACACCATAGAAATCACCACCACTCACCAGATTTGCCTGTTCCTTCGCCACCCAAGACAGCAAGCTTCACATCATTCATCTTGCTTTTTTGCTTCTTCTTGGTCAGTTCTATGTTCTGGAGTGACACTGACTTGAGCCAAGCATGTGTTTTCTTTTTTTTTTAACCATTTTTAAAAAGTAAGGCTGCTCTTACTCTAAGGCTAACTCCGCCCCATATTCCTACCATCCAATAATAACTTTAAAAATGTTTTTCCTAGAGTAGTTTTGAACATATGCCATTAGAAAAAAAAAAAAAAATTGGAGCTACTATTTAGACATAAAAGCTTATTTAGACAATAGTTAAGAATTTAACCAAAGCTTAGCTCTCAATCATCTATCTAGTGTACCCAGAATCTACCTTCTCCTAGAACTTAGAAAAACTATCACACTTCATTAAGAAAATTTTTAGAGGATGAGTAAACATTCCTGTAAATTTAGATCAGGTTTTTTTTTCTATAAGTACATGAGCCTGTATCTTGTTTTTCTCCTGTGAAAGATGAGGGAATATGTTAATTCAGTCATGAAAAGAAACGAGAAAAGGAAGAGGGTAGCTACCTGAATGTATTTGTTTAGGGTTGACAGCAATGCACATGAGTATCCAGTTTGTTTTGTTGAGTCATATGAGGCTCTCAAGGAAAAATATGGGCACTGCAGAGTTTCATCTTTCCAATGTCTTTCTTAATATGAAAACTCTTTTTTTCTTTTAATTTTATTCCTATAGACAACAGTACAATTTCTGGAAAAAAAATAAAGCAATCAGCTTCATGTTACTTAAAGAACCAAAATTAGAAAACTGTTATGTTTCCTTATGGTTAGTTCTTTATAATTATAATTAGGGAAAGGAAATTTTAAAAAGAAATAAAATTTGGAGCGGGTATTCTGACATAATTCACTTCTGCTATGAAATAAAGAGGTAAGTTTAATATGCAGTATAATGACTCTTTCATACTTCTTCTTGTCATTTTTCCCTACTACTCTAAGTCCTCACATTACTGTCTTTCCTTTTCTCCCCTCATTTGTATATGTATAAATTTGAGAGTTGAGAAAGAGTATAACAAGAATTCAACTTTTGTGTAAATTTTGAGGCACAGTTGAGAAAGTTTTATTTCTAGGCTGAGCTGATCACAGGAATAACATGCTTTTTAAAAATGCATTTATTTAACAAGCATTGATTAATTGTCACTCTTTATTAAAGCCATGTTGGGGTTATGAAGTCAACAATTTAAGAGTGAATCTTCTTCCCTAATAGAATTTACAGTCTAAGAGAAAAATGGATACAGTTAGAATTATAATAAATATGGTCATTGCTAAAATAGGACTCTAAGAGCTGAGAAAAACAGAGCAGTGGAGAGAAAGCTCTTTAAAAAGTAAGTTAAGCTTGAGACATGTGCAGGACCCATAGAAAGAGAAATGAAAAGTGATTGATTAGGAAGATGTTTTTATTCCAAAAGAAGGAATATACTCTGTAAAGAAAAAAAGGCAGAGTACGACAATTTGTAGAATCAACAAGATAACAGCTAAAACAACTTAGATTATTTCTTTTATTACAGATTATTTTTTAAATTTTTGAATAAGCTCTGTCTTCTCTTTAATACATGCAACTAAATCAAAAGTAACAAAGTGATTTTTTAAGGAAGTTTACCAGCTGATTTATTACACTATGGAATTGATTTTTTTTTTTCCTTTATTTGGAGAAATTCTATTATCTTTTTAGGAAACTTCTGATTGATGTTTCTAGGAAGTATAGTGTATATACTGATAGGAAGGAAAGACTTAACTTCATAACATGCGTGATATTGAAAACAATATATGAATGGTTGTGAACAAGATACTTGCATTCTTTTACCATATCCTCTCCTCCCTACTTCCATTTTGATTCCATAAGTAAATCTAATAAGAAAGCAGCCTAGTGTTGGAATAGAATGAAGTTATAAACCTAAACAGAAAGAATATAACTATGCACCTACTTTTCTAAGAAACAGAAGTGTCAATATTATTTTTCTGCCTCAGGTAAAGGGTACTAAATATTAATATTCTGATAAACACATTATTATACTACCTAGAATTTTCTCACATCTCCCTAAAGAGACATCTATTCACAACTAAAACAAAATCATTATTACTTCATTCATTTATTAAATGAACAAAAATTATTTGAGTGACTACTATGGTATTGGCACTATTCTCAGTGCTAGAAACATATCAGTGAACAGACAAAGTACTCATAGATTCTGGATATTAAAAAATTAGCAACTGATTACATATTAGGTTTTCATGAATAAGATTTTCATCTGCTTAGTTCTGTTTCTCTGAGGTCAGGTTAACCAGCCCTTTTCAGCTAATCTCATTTCCGTATAGTTTGTGTTAGAGTATATGCATAATTTCTCTACCAAAAGTTTCAGATTCAGAGATATGGGGTGATTCAAACTAATCTGCAAGGAGAAAGAATATCTTTGTTTCATAATACTGTCCTAGAACTTCGAAAAGATAAATATTAAATACTTCCCAACTCAGTTTCTTAAATCTATCATAATCTAAACCAAATATAAATGGTGTACATAGACACACAGAAAACAAAGAAATGCGTGTTTTTTTTCTTTATTTGGTGAAATTCTATTCTTATCTTTTTTCTGTCCTTTATAAATATAGATCCTCAGGTCCTAAGTATATTAGCATATAAAATCCAGAAATATATTTTTAAAAACAAGCATCATAAGCTAGTAGACCTTATTATAAGACTGTCAAATTGGCTGAACGATAGGAAATTTGGTAGAATATTTCCATGTATTACCAAGTCAAAGGAGAAAAACTATATGAATAACATGATTCCAAAAGCATTTTAGGAAATTTAACAGCTACACAAACTTCGTAATCTAAAAATAGGGGTTTTTTTATTTTGATTAAGGTTATATTTTTTAAAAACTCAAATATCAAAAAATAGCAAATGCCAATAGAATTATTACTCTTAATTTTCCTCTAAATAAAGGATGCTATCTGTTACTTTTTAACACAGAATTGGTAGTTCTATTCAACACAACGAGGGGGAGAAATAGCACATAAAAGAAAGAGAGAACAAGATGGTTACTATCTACAAATAATGCTTTCCCTTAGCTATATTATATACATTAGCATACATAAGACCATTTGGTAAGGTGGACAGATAATAGGTAATATAAAAAAAGTAATAATTCCAAATGATAAAAATAGCAGATATTACACATTTAACGTGGTATATAATAGGAAATTTTAAAAAATGTTTTCCAGTCTACGGCCATGCTACCCTGAACAAGCCTAATCCTGTATGATCTCGGAATCTCAGCAGGGTCAGGCCTGGTTAGTACTTGGATGGAAGACCACGTAGGAAGACCAGGTGCTGTAGGCATACAAAATAAAAAATAAATAAAATAAATAAAGGATTGTAAACTGACAAGGTCCTTGCAATCTGTGAGGTCAACCAACGGTTGCCTCGCCTAAAAAAAAATGTTTTCCAGCTATCCATTTAATCCTCTGAGAAACTTCATGAGATAGGTACCATTATTAACTTCTAATATAATGGAAATTCAGTCCTTTTCAAAAAAGAAAAAAGAAAGAAAGAAAAAAAAAAGAAAACTGAAAGGAATACATAATATTTATGTTATTAATTCTTTAATTCTTTACTGGAGATTATAAAATAAGATTTGAATATATGGACAAACATGAACAAAAAGACCCAGTGTTGTAATTATTACCAAATTAATCTAACAATAAAAATGTAATGATAATTAAATCCTGACGAAGATATTTTAATTTAATGTGGATATCCTGTATTGAAAAAGAAAATATAAAAGAATAATTGAGAAATTTCTAGGTAAAATAATGAGAAAATACTTATGAACCAAATAAACTAAAAAATCACTAAATACTATTTTATTAGAATTGGATTAATATGCTCACTAATTGAATAGATTTTTGAGTACAGGAATTGAGTATATAAAAATTTATTTTATCGTAAATATAAAGTTTTTAATATGTGCTATTTTTAAGTTGTGTTGATACTATTAGAAAAAGTTATAGAATAATGAATTATGTCTGTATTTCATATCATGCAGAAAAACAAATTATGAATATTAAAAATCTTAGCACAAAAATTAAACTAGAAAAGGGTAAAGTTGGTTAAAAGGGTAGAAAAGAATCTTGGGAAGAGAAAGTCTTCCTAATAAAGAGGCAAATCCAAAGACATAAATATGTATATAACAATCCAATGACTCTTTATAATTGAATTTTAAGTGTTGGTTATGTTACTCTTGTGGGATCATTTAGAAGATGTATGCATTTGTAGATTTATTGATATTAAAATAAATATCTATATACAAATGGATTCATTCACAATCAAAATTGAGGTATTTGTTTCACTTCTAATTATCATCCAAATGATTAAATAAATCATTACTTCTGTGTTGCTTTATGGATTATTTACTTGATTCTACCTTGAATAAATATAAACAAACACTTATGCATATATCTATTATATATATGTACAATTTTAAGAGTGTTTTTCATTTACTGCTATTGTACTCAAATACTGTATTCATTAATTTCAACTAGAGAAAAAGATAAGTTTTGATTCCTTCTGCAGTAGAATTGGTAACTATATAATTCCCATCATAATTAACTTCACCTTATAACTAATATTGTTCTATGCTACAATGTAATATGTAATATATGATTTATGCTAATGTAACATGTAATATATGATTTTTGTAAGTTGCGATTGAACAAGGTCAAGATGTTTATATCATTCCTAAGCAATTAAAAACCCAGTAGACATCATTAATAGAATTGACCTATGACGATTATGCCTTTATAATTCTAAACCACTTTTAGAGCAAGCTTTGAAAGATTATCTTTCATTTGGGTATCATATTATAAAGAAATGTTTTATTCAATATGTAATGTTAGTAATTAACTAAATTACATGGGACTATTATTATTATTTTTTTGCAAAAGAAAAATGAATACTTCACCAATTTTCAAAGGTTTTCAAAGCATGTGTGAGACTAA